AGGCTCTTTTGGATCCTAACCAGTTTTGATCTTTCTCTAATCCAGATGACTGGAAAATGATTTTTTTAATATGGGAGAATAGCAATTACTACCAACTCTCCAGTAAGTATTTGCCTGAACTGTTGGTAGCTGGTTCCTCTGGGGGGCCGGGGGGGAAAGGGGGAGGGGAGTTGGGGGCACCAACAGTTGAACTCAGTGCCTCAAGCTTGCAAAGCCAGTGGCTACCATGTGAGCCATGTTCCCAGCCCTAAAACCTAAGATCCTTCTACCTCTACCTGAGTAGCAGGGACTATAGGCATCTACCACCAACATAGCTCTTAGTGATTTATTTACACTTTTGGGAGCTTGAACTCAAGGTCATACACTTGCTAGGCACTCTAGCACTTGAGCCATGCCTCCAGCCCTTTTGTTTAGTTCTCAAGTTTTTGTCCAAGTTGTCCTGAAGGATGGCTTTCCTATTCAGGTCTTCCACACAGCTGAGATGACAGACACACACAACCTCACTTTTATTGAGATGGAGTCTCACCAATCTTTTGTCCAGACTGGCTTTGAACCTCTGTCTTTCTTTCCTTAGTAGCTGGGATTACAGAAGTGAGCACCTGGTTTGGTGAGTTCTTTTTTATGTGAAAGAACTACATAAATTTCAAGTACAGACTATTTTGGTTATGTTTTCCTCGTGAATTTACCATCTGTGGTTTGTTTAGATATTTTCCCTCCTACTAAAGAAAAAGGTAATCCTCTGTTTTGACAGGACCGTATATTTGGACAGGAGCATCAATGTTGTCCTCTACCTACTTTTCTGCTTTGAACTAGAACCAAGCACACCCCACACACAATCCCATTAATTCATTTCTTGTTACAGGGAAACACTTCAAATAAATGTGGCCACTTGAAAGATGCTTACCTGACTAAAATGATACACTCATAAAATAATGGATTTCATTTTGCCCTAAAACACTTTATCTACCTAATCATGGTTTCGGAACTTAAAACTCATTCAGATATAAGGTCTAATGAGATCCTAATAAATTATGAATATTGGCCCATGAGATTATTAGAAAAACTTGGCTGCCTTACAATACTATGCCGTGGGTAAACTTCAGCCAGGAGTAATTCTTTAATGGATTCATGGCAAGAAATGGAGCCAATCCATACACAGTGTGGGCTTGTTATAATTCTGAGCTTCAGGCTGGAATAATTTGTCATGTTTCTCTTGAAGTAGATTAAGTAAGAGGGTTGGAAACTGGGTTTGACAGAGAACTCGGCCTTTTCTAACTAATGATGCCCCAGACTAATCATAAGAAAGTTCTCCCTCAAAGGAGAGCCTAGGAACAACTGTTCAGCATAGCTTAACTTGGACAGCAGCCTGCTCTACCTCCCTAGCCCCCTTCAAAACGGGCATCACATCTCACACGAAACTAAATCGCTTCCTAATTGTTAGTCTCTCTGGAATTAGTCCTCTGAAAACAGACTTCTTAATACAAAAGTTGGGCAGGTAAGATCTCTATCCATTCTTTCCTTCAAAATGCCCATTATTTTCTCACCTCATTTTCTACAATGTGTATCCTCCCCCTCCCTTAGACTGTGGTTTGTACATCCAACCTGCCACTCCTCCTGCATTGGTCCCCACTGCAGAGCAGCCCCCCAGTTCAGTGTGTCCGAAACAGGTCTCCGTAGCAGGAAGAGCCACATTCACTAGGGTAGGCTAACCTTTGCACACCGCCCCACAAGAATACAAACCAGGTTATGCCTTCAAACTGTACCCAGCAGGAGGCCTTCTCCCCACCAATAATGACAGATTCTAATCTGGGAGGAAGAGCCATAACTCCTCAGACAGGACACAAGAATGACACAAGACTGAGCGTGAAGGGTTTCATTGTTCATTCACTACAGACCAGGTACTAGCAAACTGAAATCGAATACATAAGTCACTCACCTTTTTTAGGAATCACAATCTATAAATTTTCTTAGCACAGTTCAATAACAGAAGCTATAGGAAATATGTCCCCAGAAAAAGGAAAAGTCCAGTGTTTTCATGTAAGAGAATTACATTTAACAGTGGTTCTGAGGACTACGATGGTTAGGCTTTGCTCTAAACCAATGCCTTTAATGTCACAAAAGAATGAAGTCAAGGTAGTTTGTATTTTTTTATTTTGTCGGTAGAGTTCACACACACACACATACACACATGTACTCTTAGCAAGCTGAACTTTCATGCACATTAGTGTCGATTGACATTCACCCAGTTTCTCTAACACAGAAGCCAGAATGAAGCCACCTTCCATGCAGCCTTGCGTCTCCTTCTCTCCTCTGAGGAAAAGATTTCAAAATGGCTCCCTGCCCTGGTGTCTTTGATGCTATGTTGCTCAGCCTCATAGTAAGAAAGGGAGATGGCCTGATAATGGCTTTATTGAATAAACTGATGAAAGTCTGATAGATGTACTTTATAAAACACTGATATCTTCTGAGACTTTTAAGAGAATGAACACTGACTAGAATATCCTGTATATTAAATGAGATGTTACTTCACAGACCATTATCTTTGTACTAAGGAAATGTGGAAGTTGAAGACATTACGATCATGGAATTTAGGAATGTCCTGAATAGAGGAGATCTGTAGACTGATGTGACATAGAGGGAAAATCCTAGCAGCAAGAATATAACTCTCCAAGAAAATTGTTTTAGTGTTTATGCACAAAATCTACTGTTCCTGACAAGGTTACAACTTCATCAGAATTCAAATATACCTGTATTTGAAATATTCCATAAAATGTCAAGTCTGGTTATATAATGGAGTCTGTAAGTAAAATTCCTTGATAGTATTTGCAGGAAAATACTGTAGCCCAACTAATATTTATTCTGTTTAGCACCAGAATGAAAAACCTTACAATTTCCTTTCATTCTTGTAAATCTTGAAACATATCTTCTTACAAGGAGTATTAACTATATCAGACTGTTTGTGGGTTGTTGTTACCATTCATCATTAGTAAAAAATATTTATGACTAGGAGACTGACATCAAATTTTGCAACAATGTCTTTGTAAATTCAAATTTATTATGGCATTTAAAGAAACGTGTGAATAAGCATTCAAACTCTACAAGCTCCTTCTAAACTGTAATAAAAAACGTCTTTGGAATTATTCTCTTAAGGCTTTACTCAATATTGAATACACTTGAATTGCCAATATAAAAAGATAATGAGATGAACAACTGATGATTTTTCTATATTGAGGCAAAGAGGAGAGGAAATGACACTGAATCAAACTCCCAAATCCAAATTCTGGGCACCTGATTGCAATTTTTATTTATTTATTTATTTATTTTGTCGGTCACGGGGCCTGAACTCTGGGCCTGGGTGCTGTCCCTCAGCTCTTCAACTCAAGGCTAGCGCTCTACCACTTGAGCCACAGCACCACTTCCAGCTTTTTCTGCATATGTGGTGCTGAGAAATCAAACCCAGGGTCTCAATGCATGCAAGGCAAACCACTCTACCGCTGAGCCACTTTCCCAGCCCCGATTGCAACATTTTAAAGCTGTTCTGTGTGCACTTATGAATATGTGAGGGTTTTTTTTTCTTGTTTTCTTTGAGAGAGGATTTGCTAAGCAGCCCAAGACAGTCTGAAACTCATGATCTACCTGACTCAGCCATCTGAATACTGGATTCCAGTAGTGTAAACACCATTCCTGGCAAATTATTTTTATCTATTACATGATTTTTTTTAACTATCTTACCTAAAAGTGAAAATTGAAAAATTGCTAACCTCTTCAAATGCAATAATTCCATCAAGTCTCTAATTTTTTTAAAAATCAGAAGACCTAAAAATATAGTGGCAGTTCAGAACAAGTATGACCATTTCCCTCTTCTTTGCATGTTAAGAAACATGCAAACTGCACACCCACAGCTAAGAGCTACCTGAAATCTGGCTTCCCCCAGAGCACCATGGCCAAAATTGCAAATACTGTTGGTAATGAAGAGAAGTACTCGAGATGATTCCCAAACCTTCTTCACCAGGGAAGACTTGACAACAGAACTCTCCTCTTAACACATCGTGCATTTCAAACAAAAGTTTCTATAGTCGATCCCAAATCTAAATCAAAAGAAAATTAGAAAACAATTTTCCAAAGAACGTTTTAAGAACCAATGACACCCAAAGTTTGGTTGTAGTCCCTGAGAAAAGGTGATCATTGGAGCCAGTTAGTTTTTGTTCGTGAAAAGATGTCTGAGATCAAATTTAGTTTCTGCCCAACCTTTAGTTCCTGTCCCCCCCCCCCCCCCGCTCCCTGCCCCTCTGGCCTAATGCTTGGGGCTTTGTCACATGACGTAATTATTTTGATTCTGCTTTTCAGAGAACAGTGTGGCTTGGGTTTCTCTGGTTGTGCTTCTGGCTCTCCCAGAGTGTATGACATTTCCTCTGATCTTCATAGCCGTCCGCGGAAAAGGGCAGGACAGGTAAGCCATCCTCACTTCTAGTGATGAGAATACACAGGTGACTTGCCAGGTGTCTCATAATAATAAAGCTATTATGTTACAGACTAATGCTCAAGTCCTGACCTTCAACTCTTTTTTTCTATGCACATGCTTCAGGAGGGGTGTGGCTGACTAAAGAATCCACTGAGTGGATGAATCCAGATGATGTAATCCACACATGATGTTGTTCATCTTTGCATGGACCACATCATTAATCTAGACCAAAATTTAGAGTCTGCTTGTAAATGATGGGTATAAATGAGCTTTATACAAGTGTCACATGACTCTACAGCAAGAGAGAATGGAACTTAGAAGCCTCAGCTGCCATGAAAAAGAAGGTTACAAGAGAAAAAGCTGCTAAGAATTGTCTATGCTCAGTAAAAAGAATTCCCAAAGAACATGAAGATACATATATAAGTGATCTTTAAGGTTTTAAACATAAGAAATGAAACCATACTGTTTCCCTGCATGACATATAAATATATTATTCAATGAAAACTACATGAGCAAGGATTTATATGCAATCCCTTCTTTATGAAGACTGCTTTAAATCTAACAAGAGAGATTCATCATCCTCTACTCTCACCTGAGGTTTAAAAGTAACCTTTAAAGGCTCAGGGGTTGGGAAGTCACTGCCTACTTGGGGCACATACCCTGTCCTGCCTGCCTCCTCTTCTGTTTCACTGAACTCATTGGGGTGGAGCTCATGGATGGGATCAAGAGCCGGGCTGCCTGCAATGATGTCCACACCCATGTCCCTCCCCACTTCCTGACCTTCTGCCTTTGTATCTTTAGCCTTCCTGAGGCTGCGCATCTTGAAAGCCTCCTTTGAGGGGGCAGCATTGGAAATAGATTTCTTAAATCTTTCCCCTGACTGCCTCAGCCTCTCTCCAGATTGCCTCAGCCTCTCTCCAGACTGCCTTAACCTTTCTCTCCTCTCAGGTGTCACTATTCTAGTTCTAATTCTGTTCACTTTCTTGTCAAAATTCTGCCGTGTCTTCTGCATGCTTTCTTTGGAAAATGCCTTTTTGATATGATCAATGCGTTCCTTGCCTGACTTTCTAAACCTGGCAGATCTGCTCTCTTCAACATAATATTCTTCATCTGAAGAAAGATCTATGGGAGGATCAAAGATTTCATCTTCTTCTTCTTCTTGGTTCTCGGTGAGGTTTTTGTCTCTAACAATAGACAGGGAAGTTGGACAGCGAGTCTTCTCCTGAAGGAGAAAAAAACAAAGTATGTTAGTGCTTCTTTTGAATAGCTCTGTAACCTGCTTGCCCACACATTGCTAACCGCCGTTTTTGCTGCTCATCCTCTGTCTCCTCCTGAAAGCAGGTATTTCTCAGGGCTCCTCTGCTCAAACATTTTATCTTTATTGCTCTACTTCTAAGATAAATGCATGTCTAATCGTTGAGCAAACTTCTCTACCCAGATGTGCCACAGACACCTCACACTTTGCAGGTTCAAAACTCATGGCCTGCCTGCCCTCCCTCTCCCCCACCCTCACCCCCACCCCATCTTCCTCTCCATTTGTCACTTCCTTTCCTGTCTGTACCTTTCATCACCTAGATCCGCACAAGTCAGAAGCATCATCTCAACTGGTCACAAGCCTTGTGAATGAGACTATATAATAACTCAGCTTTCCCTCCACGTTCCTTAACCAATGTCTTCATTCAGGTCCTTGTCACCTCAGGTCTGAAATTGTATAAATCCTTCTCACTGATTCTTCTCCCTCCAGAACACCAGCTAAGAACTTGCTATGACATACTTCTAAAATCGAGCCTTGATTATATCCTTTGAAAACTCCAAGAAGAGAGTGTGGATCCTTCAGAATACTTTGAAGGCTACTCAAGCCAGTTGCCCGTGGCTCACACCTGTAATCCTAACTACTCAGAAGGTTGAGATCTGAGGATGGTGCTTCAAAGCCAGCCAGGGAAGTAAAGTCCATGATACACTTATCTCCAATTAACTACCAAAAAAGCCAGAAGTGGAGCTGTGGCTCAAGTGGTAGGAGCACTAGCCTTGAGCAGACGCAGATCAGGAACAGTGTCCAGGCCCTGAGTTCAAGTTCCAGTACCAGAACACACACATTAATAATAATTTCCCACACCTCTCGAGATGAGCAACAGGTACTGTCCGCACCTTCTGCACAATGTTTGCATTCTTCTTGCCTTTGCATTCCTTTAGATGCATGGTCTCGTGTACCTTTAATACATCTTCATCCTCTTTTAGCTTTATGGAAATAGTATTCTCCAAAAATCAACTCAGGTATATCAACTTCCCCAAGTAGCTAGTCTGTTCTCCAATTTACTCCAAAACAACATGGGTATGCCACAATTGTAACATTTATCACTGTCTGAACTGAACTGGAATTCCACTGACTTACACGTGTATTTCAAGAGCCTTC